AGTTTATGTGAAGGAAGGCTTAGCAAAGGGATGGGTAGATAAGACTGATTGCTTACAGAGAGCTAACTTTGTATGCTGCACTTGATACAAGTAGGGCCGTCTTGAAAGATTTGGAGAAGAGGTTTTAAAATTACAATTGGAAGATATCTGCTGGGCTAGAAATGGAGAGTCCTAAGCATTCAGAATTTGGCAAATGGCTTCTGTTTGTGTTTTTCTTGGTTTTAAGTTACCATCAAGCTCCAGTTTAGTTATCTCTGCATTGAAGATGACCAATTGATGGGTATGTTTTGGATTAGTCAAAGTAAAAAGCCAATTATTTTGTGTTTTACACTAACAAAACCCATAGAGAAATTCTGCTTTGCCTTTTTAACCCATATGTAGGCTTAGCTCTCCTTGAACCTAATTTAAGTTATGCTTGATTACACCCCCAATTCAAGATCCTCTCCAAGATTATTGAGAATTCCCAGGAGGCTAATTTTTCATGGTCACCTCTTTTCTTGCTTTTTCTCTAGCTCAGCTATGCTTTAAGCCTGTTTTATAAAAACATATTTTGTCTAACATGTTTAGGAGTTCTGTGTCAGGAGGCATTTTTCTGATCCTCTATTCCAGGATTCGGCAAACTTCTTCTGTAAAGGGCCAGATAGTGTGGTTTCTGTTGCAATTACTCAACTAATAAACTCATTGCTGACCCAACAATTATCTTTCCCATTTTCACCAGCATCATTTGAGTACTGTTTTATTATTATTTACGTGGTAGGAAATCATCTAGCTGTCAGAAAACAAAAAAGACCTTCAATGGAGTGCCATCCCCTAAAAGATAAAGCTCAAAATCCCATATTTGAATAATGATATTAAAAGCTAATATTTGCCAAACCCTTGTCATGGTCCAGGCACTATTCTAAGTGTTCTTCCTGTATAAACTCATTGACATCTCACAATGGAGCAAAAGACAATGACCATTAGTCTCCCTATTTGGGAACCAAGTCTCAGTTACGTAAAGGCCCACTACTCAGTGGTAGTGGGGAGAGGACACCAACTCAGGTCTGTCTGACTCCTGAAGCCATGCTCTTCTCAGCATGCTTGGTTCCTAACATCCATTCCTCTATCTCTTTATAGTTATCTGGATTATCATTCAGAGGGTCTCTCTTCTTCACTAGCCACTGCGCCTCGGGAGATGATCTCACTCCAGCGCCAGGGAAAGGCTTACAGATCTAAGTGCACTCTTACTCCCTGGCCAGTGATTGGCTTAGATCTTGAGTTTCTGAACAAATCAGTACACCGCATACATACCTCAGGCCACAGGGGTTGGTTCAGAAAATGGACCTGTAACCTCACTCAGGCTAATAGATGTAAGGGGAAATTTGTTGAGGGTGTCTAGAAAAGAGGTTTCATCAATCTTGAGAGAGCTTCAGGGAGATCCTGCCTCTCTTCACCCAAAGATTGCCATATATGTACATGAAACTTGACACTATAACAACCATCTTATTTGTAATAGAGATAAAGCTAGAACAAAATGGCAGAGCTGAGAGAGTCACAGATCAATGCAGCCAGGGCTCTGGTTGAGTCGTAATTGCTCATCACTGTAGAGTGTAGTCCTGGATTTTTTCCATTGTATAACCAATATATTATCTTTGCTTTTCAAGCCAGTTTCAATTGAGTTTTCTTTCAACTGAAAGTAACCTAACTGATATAATTATCTATAGTCTTTCATGATCTGGCCTCAGCATATCTTTCTAGTCCTTAATCTCACTTGTTTGGGGCCAAATAAGTCACCCAGAGTTTCCCAAACACACCACAGCATTCATGCCTTTGCCAGTCTGATTCTTTCTGCTTTGATTACCCTTTGTTCTCCTCTCCATGGAGAACTCATGTTACACTGCAATCATGTTTTACATGACTGTCTCTACCACTTGACTTGGCTACATTCTTTTTTGTCTTCATATTCTTTGTGCCTAACATACACTTGATACATAGTAAGCATTTCAGTGTTTGTAGAATTAATCAAAATGATGGGTAGCATGGAAATCTGAATCACAATAAGTTCTTTCTATACAAGTTAATCATACAGATCAATGCTGTCTAATAAAACTCTCTGTGATAACAGAAATGTTCTATACCTGCTCTGTCCAATAAAGTAGCCATTGGCCACATGTGGCTATTGAGTACTTGAAATGTGGCTAGTGTGACTGAGGAACTGAATTTTAAATTTCATTCCTATAATTAATTTGGTTTTAAATAGCCCCATGCGGCTAGTGGCTACTATATTGAACAGCACAGATCTAGAAACCAAATGGAAAAAAAAATTTCCAAAGATGGGAATGTGTCAACTAAATGATTCTAGATACCAAACTAAATGGAAACATTTAGAGACAGTGTTGTTTTGATTCTAATCATTTTTTTATCCTTAAGTAAAAAATTTACTATAGTCTAGAGGTTTCTTTTACCATTCAAAAGTAGTCCATTCACATAATTTAAAAATATGATCTCAGTTTGTCTTTATTTTGAATATGAGCAAAATGCACCAGCAGACACAATTTGTGTAATGGAAGCTTTTCAGTCTTAAGAACCTCAGAAAGGAAATAAAGCAGATCATTTTTTCCATGAAAAATCTTTTGACAGGTATCAAATTCCATATAGGCCAAGAAAGTATGTATTGCATAACCAAAGACTTGTTTTTAATGGTCGGGTGTTAGAAACTGTTCTTGCCACCCGCAAAATGGCCATGTAGACACGATTACCACAGATGAGGGTTTCAGCTATATGGTACACAACAGATTTCTCTCCTTTCGCAATTCTTTTAGGGATAAATTTATGGAGGAAAAAATCTATACAAACAAACTCTAATTAGCATAACAGTAAAAACAGTTAAAAAAAACCTCTAATTACAGTTAAATACATAAGTCATAGGGGATAGTGGTTAAAGCCAGACCTTGTGATATCAGACCTGGATTTGAATCCATAAAGGCTTCAGAGCGAGAGAGAGGGAGGAATAGATAGATAGATAGATAGACAGACAGACAGACAGACATTCGTGGGTGAGTAAGGTATTATTACCCCATTTTACAGATAAGGAAACTAAGGCTCAGTAAAGTATGTACCTTGCCCACTGTCACACAGCTCACAATTGCTAGAGCTGAGATTCAAACCCAGGCTGGTCTGCCTCTGAAGCCCATGCTCTTAAGCACCATCTGATAATAACAGTTCCCAGGTGATATTGACATTGCTGGTTGGGAGACGACACTTTGGGAACCACTGTTTCTAAAAGTCAGCAGCTGACAGTAAATAGCCCAATAGTGGAAACAGGGGTAGGGATTTACAAGCCAGTTACACAGATAAGTTATACATAGTACAATCAAGATTTCCAGAACGAAAGTAATGTTGCTTTGTTATCAACTACAGTGCAATGAAAGGAACAGTAGGTAAAGATTGTGATGACCACAGACTCTCTGCTACATAGTTATCTAGAAATCCATAAGCCGGCTACAGAGCTAAAGATATGTCTGCTCTGTGATGAAAACAAGGTCCATTAGGGATCTAGAACTGAGTGAAGCTCTCTGAAGAGAGATGAGAGTTTCTTCTAGATTTTAGTTTTATGCTACGTCAGCCTTTTGGTCTCATTCTGAAGAACCATTAGTTGAGATGCAGGGAGTGCAGGGTCGGGGCAAGCGTGCTGGCCCTGGAGCCAGACTGGGGGGGTTGAAGTCTGACTCTCCCATTTACTAGCTGGGTGACCTCTGGTAAATTAACATTTCAGGTCTCAGTTTTCCCATCTATAAAATTAGGCTATTAATAGTTCTTACTTCACAGAGTTGTTGCAAAAATAAATGAGGTAAGGTGTGAAAAACCATTTCAATAGTGTCTACCATGTACTAAGTACCTAGGAACCATCAGCTGTTATTATTTGTCCCACTGTCGAGTTGGGCCATGAGATACAGGAGAGAATTTTCTGATTCTCTCGATGATGGTTTGTATCAAAATCTCATTCTGGTGCCTGCAGATAAAGGTGATCATCAGAGTTACTGGGCATCTGTAACGTGCTGTGCTATCAGAGACACATGTCTCAATTAGATGTTAGCATGCCTACACATTGGAAAGGAGATTTTGTAAAAAACACAAAAAAATCTTTATTAAAATTTTCCTCTCGCCAACCCTCAGCAACCCTGTACATTCCAAAGGGGACTGTGAACCAGACAAATACATTTTTTCATTTAGTTCCTATGGCAATCCTGGTAGATTGTTGCTGTTGTTTCTCTTCTAAACATTGCAAATTGGAGCTTAAGAGGTAAAGTGACAACAAATTGATGTCAGAATTTGAGCCCAGATATGTTTGAGACCGAAGCCTATACTGGCTTCAAATTTATAAATTACAACGTGACAGGATATGCATATAGTTTTTGGCAGAGTGAGAGGGTGTGATACTCAAACGCTTATTCACACACATAATGTTTCACTTTCCATATTTTTCTCTTAGAAGAGCTTGTGCGATAATAGAAACGTAATGGGATAAACGAAATATCATTATCATAGATAAAATATATAACAGCCAAACCTCGTAGAGTTTAGACACCTGAAAGTATTACTGCATGGCTACTTAGTAATCATATCTGTTCTGTGTATCATATAACATATAATAGAACATCCAAAAATTGGGGGGAAAACTGCCTTAAATTTAGAAGAAGATTAGGGACAAGTTCAGATGAACTTGTGATCAATTTCAAGCCTAGAGAGTCCACTCTGGGAGATTCAGCATTTTGATTCTTATTGGGTAATTTCCAGAATGTAGATTATCTGCTCACCTGCCCTGGACAGAGCCTAAGCATTCCTTCCCCTCTCAGGGGAACACACCACAGATTTCCATGAGCAGTTGGCTGCTATCTTGCTTTGTCTCTTCTCCTTTATCTGCCCAGATAGGCTGCCCCCACCCTCTACTTGCGGTTTGGGGCTATAAGGGAACATTGCAGTGAGTCATCTTGCCCTCAGGCTCCTCTCATAAGGCATACCTTACTATTTAGGATCTGGAAAACCCTCTGCTGCGGTGTCTGGTCAGCCTTGGGCCTCACAAGGATGTAAATGACTTTCAGGTCGGGGCTAGTGCGAAATAGCTTCTCCATCAGCACTTTGCCCATGAAGCCCGTGGCCCCAGTAATGAGAATGGACTTGCCACCATAGAAAGCTGCAATCGTGGACATGGTTCTTCCCTTTGTCCTTTAGAGCTCTGGACAGAGGTGCCTGAAAAGGAAGAGGACTAACAAAGATTACATTCTCAGAAGTTCTAAATGCTGTCATTTGCAATGCTTCTGGGGCTTCCAGGAGTTCTGAATGCAGAAAAAGTTCAGACAGCGTCATCGCATCATGGTTTTTCGGCAACATGGTTCATTTCAATTGATATTTATGGGGCTCATTCTACATGCCAGAAACCGTGGGCGAGGAATGAGTAAGATATAGGTCCTGCTCTCAAAGAATTGCTTGTAGTCTAATGGAGGAGACAGACACAATAAGAGATCATTAAATATAATACAGTAAGTGCCAAAACAAAGGGAGGACAGAAGAGGGGTGCATAGCAGGATCTGGAAATTTCAGGAAGTCCTCTATAGAAGGTGACGCCTGAGGGGCCAGCCCAGTGGAACAAGCGGTTAAGTGCGCGAGCTCCACTGTGGTGGCATGGGGTTCGCCGGTTCGGATCCTGGCCGTGCAGTGATGCACTGCTTGTAGAGCCATGCTGTGGCGGCGTCCCATATCAAGTAGAGGAAGATGGGCACCGATGTTAGCTCAGGGCCAATCTTCCTCAGCAAAAAAGAGGAGGATTGGCATCAGATGTTAGCTCAGTGCTGATCTTCCTCACACACACACACACACACACACACACACACACACACAATAAATAAATAAATAAATAAATAAATAAATAAATAAATAAATAAATAAAAAGAAGGTGACACCTGAGGTGAAACTTGAAGGCAGAGAAGGGCTGAGGGAAGGGTGTTCCAGTCCAAAGAAAGTGCATATTTCCGTATGGTGGAAATAAAAGGAATTCAGTGTTACAAGGATCAAGGCTGGGAATGACCCCACAATCTGTGAACCCAAAGCTTAGAATAGCTATCCGATTCCTTAAAATTATGATGTACTTGAAACAGAGCATGAAGAGGTTAAAACATCTTCCGTGGGCTAGAGGAAGAGAACAAAAACTTTGAGATGAGCTTTGCTAACTGCAGTTGTGCATATTCAGCATAACCAACTGTTGTATAAAACTAACTAGGTCTTTCTGTCCCTCCTTCATATAGGAGTGTGCTGTCTTTCCCAGGAAGTCAAGGTCCAGACATCAAGATTCAGCCTCACAATTCCAAACTCAGGCTGAACATGAAAACTAACCAGAAAAGTCCAGACAATTAAGCAAAAGAAAAAATTTAGTCTTCAAGGCCAAATGCAAGCTGGTGGGAAGGTTCCAACCGGAAAGGCCCCATGTTCCCCTTCTCATACCTAAACCCCCAGCACAAGCTCCCTCTCCCCTACCTAAAACCCCAGATAAAAACTTCTACCTTTTTCCTTTCAGGGTCCTAACTCCCATCTCCTCGTCTGACTGCCTTTCAATAATAGTAAACCTCTTTCCTTGCCACAAGCCTGGTGTTTCAGTTTTTTATTTATTGGCCCTACTATGCAGTGGGTAAACGAACCTGTGTTTGGGTTCGGTAACATAATTAGTATTTCAGTTGCAGTTCTATTTACAGAAAATCCTGGAGCAAATAACTTTTGGTTTCTCTTGAACAAACTGGCCCTGGCCTCCCCAGCTATTTCTGAATAAATTAAGTTTTTCTATTCCTTGAGCTGAAAACAGGTCGAGTGCCATCCTTTCCTTCATATGCTGCTCGTAGGGTTGAAACATTGCAGAAGATAAAGGGAAGAGAAGGTTGAACAAGGAAGGCCACAAATCATAGGCTTTGTTAAGTCCCAAAATAGCTCCGGTACCATCTAGGGCTCAGTTAGTCCATTCAAGGCCCTGTTTCCAGGAGCACAGGGAAAGAGTCAGCAAATCTGGGAGTGGGAAGCCAGATGCAAGACTCAGATGCTGTGACTGCAGACAAAAAGCACCACAGGCTGTAGAAACGCAACATGCAGTGTTTGTCTTTGAGCCCGGGCTGAAGACTGTTGACCTGAAGCAGCGGCAGAGCTTTGACGGAAACAGCGCTGGCGGTGTGGGAGCCGACCTTCCTCTCTGTCAGTCTGTCCACCGACTTTGCCGACTGCAGCAGCGCCTCGGCTGTCTGCTTGGACGGGGTTTGGGTGGATCCTGCAGAACTCAACCCCAGGGACCGGCCCTGACATCAGGGCTTATAAAGAAGAAGAGAAAGACGAGTAAAAGAGTCAACACCCTGCCTCTTCACCTCCAGTCAAGATGACTCTGCCGGTAACTCCTTAAGGAACAATGACTTTTCATAGTCATAATTGATACATTTATAAATTATAGTCTTCATTTATACTTTGAGGATCTTGGGGCTATATTCTTGGGCAGAACTCTTTCCCTTTGGAGGATTCATTGATTTATGAATTTACTCAACAAATAATTTTGAGCATTTGCCAGGCCAGACTCTACGCTAAGTTCTGAAGATAAACAGATGAATAAGGCAAACAGATCCTTGCTGTCACTCTAGCAGAGGAGGCCAGGATACAAAGATAAGTAAATACATAGCAAGATAATTACAGACTTACAAATGTAAATAAAACAGGGATCAATGGCAGAAATCACACCCAATCGTCAATGCTAATCACTTTAGGAAATCTGGATTTCAAATCCCATAGGCTATATTCATTGAGTTACTATTGAAACTCTTTTTATTGAGGGTTAATGCAAGAAATATTATTATTATTATTTTTGGAGGAAGATTAGCCCTGAGATAACATCTGTTGCCAATCCTCCTATTTTTTACTGAGGAAGATTGGGCCTGGGCTAACATCCATGCCCACCTTCCTCTACTTTATATGGGACGCCCCCAAAGCATGGCTTGATGAGTGGTGCTCGGTCTGTGCCTGGGATCCGAACCTGCCAACCCCGGGCCACCAAAGCAGAGTGTGTGAACTTAACCACTATGCCCCTTGATATTTATTTTAAATGTCTGTCTTATGCATTTTACATACTCTCTTTTGGAAAAAGAAG